AAATTAGTCTGTTGACACAAGTCTGATTATAGATATAAATGATGATAATTGAAATAATAACATACATATATGAGACCCATATAAAATAAAAAAAAAAAATATCTTTGACTACCCCAGTCAAAGATATTTTCATATATAGATGTCGTGGTCAACCCTTGACATAACTACTCAGATTTCGCTGGGTAAATTTTAATCCAAGTAAGGAACGAGCCTACTGCCGTCTCTCGGATTACTTTTTAATTTGTTATTTGTGTTTCCATCACCGGGGATCTGACTGACTAGTGAGAAATACAAAAATACTAGATTTAAACTTACCACCTTTCGGTAAGTATAAGATTACATTGTAAACCATTAGACTATGACGCTCTTTATACTTATTTAAGTTATATATTACCATATAAAACAACCATTTCAATATATCAAGTTCAAGGAATGTTATAATCCGTTAAAAAATTGTACTTTGAGGTAAAATTTATGTTTATTCGTTTAAAAGCAAGTCACGCGGAAAAAAGGAATTTATCGCCGAGTAACAAATGCATAGCGCCATCTAGTATATAAATAATATTCAATGTATGTCTGAAAATTGTCACTTACATCTTTCACAACCGAATCCTCCTCACTATAAACATACGAGACACACTTTTCTGTTCTCGAAGTATTAAACTCACTGTCTGTACATGTTATATTACTTAACCTTACATTGTCATTTAATGGGTATCTTTCGCACTTAGAATATTCATCCTTTGCTTTTGGTATGGCGTATGTGAACCGTGTATTTAGATTTTCTTTATCTTCACACTCGTTAATTCGGCATCTGAAATTGTAATGAAATGTGTAATTAGAGAAATATAAAACCCTGGACAATTTAAACAACGTCACCTAGTTCCAAGTTAAGCAGAGCTTGTGTTATGGGTACTAGACATCTAATATACTTAGATATTTTTTTTGTAAATATATACATAATATGCAAAGAAAACACCCAGACGGATACAAACAATTACACTCAAGAATACAAATGTTTGTACTATTAATGCAGTTTTTTTTTTAATTTGCGTGTGTAGTGCATAGTGTCTAAATATATCTAAATATTAATAATGTAAATACCTACTTGTTTATTTTTTATGTAATGTAAACATTACGCATGTTTTCTCTGTAATTATATTTTTCGCTTCAGAAACTACGAAGACAAGAAAGGAAGGAAGAATGGCATTTTTATTACATTTTTCATCGTATGCCGAAAACTAAAGCCAATACTTATTGGCAATAGATTGCGTACTGTATACGTTCTATTATCTATCCATTTTTTTTATGAAAACGTCACATCTCGCTTGAACGTTGTGGAAAAGAAAAGGGTTGATCACAATTTAAATAAAGGTTATTTCTATTTAGAAATCTTAATAGAAATAAACTTAAGCACTTTGCAATGTGTTTTTACTCTGATGGCAAATTCTGAACGAAATTTAAGCTAAGAAGAATAAATTTGATTGGTGCTTTTTCAAATAAATGTTACACAACTCGTCTGCGTACCTCAGTCTCACCAGACGATAGCTTATCTAAAAAGTAGTGTCGCCATTACTTTATATGTACAAAATATATATTAAATATAATTATTAAATATTGACTACAAAATAAAAACATTCGATTACAAATATAAAAACTAAAACTATATATTTTATCAGATATTTTTATTTTTCATTTCGGATACATTTAATAAAAGTTTATTAATGTAATTACGGCGTTGTATGTATAAATGAACGTTCATAACTATTAAACTTTTATTAGTGTTGACGGTTTCTGTGGTCTAGCGGTTAAGCACACTGCTTTACTTCCGATAGTCGTGGATTAATTTTTTTCATGAGTATGATTGTTTGTATCGGTCTACATGTTTTCTTTGTATGTATTTACAAAAAAATGTATGAACGTAAATCAGTTAGACAACTGATATACGTTCATACATTTATTGTTTGTCATTGTTCATACATTTGCCTATAACACTAGCTCTGCTTATCTTGGGACTAGATGGCGCTATATGAGGTATCCTAAAATATTATTATTACATTGTCACAGCATGTTTACGTCGCCGGGAATTATATAAGCTTATATGTATCATACAGCTCAATTATGTAAATGATGTGATATATGTATCTGCCTTTAGTCTCTAACTATGCAAATGGAGATCCATCTTACACAGCAAGTGTCATGTTTGTTACGCTGACGTAGCGTGATTGGAGACGAGACAAAGGATTTGTGATTTTACACTACAAAGTAGCACGTAGGCTTGCCATTTGAATTTAGACTTAAATTATATAACTATATTTATTAAGATGCATTGACAGCTGGTATATTAATTTAATAACACAATTACAAAAGGATTCTCCAATGTTAAAATTACATTTATGATCTTATTTTTTAAAGTTTTCGCAGAGCATGGCATATTTTGTTAATTTTTTTTACACCTTGGATTACAATATTGGAGTTTTAGTAAGGATCCTTGATTTTTTGGAAATATAATATAGCCTATGTCAACCAGGGATACTGTAGCTTCCTAATGGTAGAAGAATTTTTTAAATCGGTCCAGTAGTTTCGGAGCCTTTTCAATATAAACAAACAAACCTTTCCTCTTTATAATATTAGTTTAGATAAACAATTTTGCTGTAGATGCAGATTGTTTCCGACTCTACCCCAGAAATGACTTATGTACTTATCGGGTACATAAGTCATTTCTGAGATCGTTCGATCGATCAATTCATTTTTGCTATATCCCTAAATTTGCAAATAATAAAATAAAATTTCGCTATAAAACTTCGTCTTCGTCATACGCACAGAAACTGTATTCTGTTATTGCTATTCTTTTGATTTTTCTACTAAATATGACAAATATCAATCGTGAGGCTATGATATATTTAACTGTAACGTGTCATTTGGATATAAAATATGCACCATTTTGAAATATGTCACTGTATTTCAGACATTATATCACTGTCAATAAGATTTTTGACGGCCTCGGTGGTCTAGCGGTGTTGCACACCGCTTTACGTCCGATGGTTGCGGGTTCAATTCCGCGCACGGCAAAATCATTTCATGTGTATAATTGTATGTATCGGTCCCAGATTGACATAGAAAACGCCCAGGTGTTTTCTATGTAAAAATATCTATGTTTTTGTATCAGTTGTCTAGTGCCCATAACACAAGCTTTAGCTAGCTTAACTTGGGTCTAGATGGCGCTGTGTTGTCTGAATTGCCCTGAGATTATTACTATCACTTTTGACTTAAAAGTAAACGCGCTAAAAACTAAATTTCCTATTTTGGATGCATTTAATAAAGTCACCTTGAACGGTCTATATGATATCATATGAAAGTTGTGTATAGTGACAACGATTGTGTGTTAAAAAAACATTTGCTATGTCATTTTTTTAATAACTATATCCTGTTCTTTCTGTTTTATTTCTATACTCGTTCTCCTCTAAAAAAAACTAGTAAAACATTCTAATAATTTCTATTAGACTCTTTGTCCAGTAATGAAACAACACATTAATAAAAGAACAAAATAGATGCATTTCACTAAAATTTTATCTATTTCCGGTGATGATATAACTGGGAGTCATGGTGGTGGCATTCGAAATAACCTTTGACTTGACATCCGCGTCGATAATTATTGATAAGAAAATCTGCTTGGGGATAGCCTCGTCTGAGATAAGTCTGTATTTAATTTAAATGCACTTAAAATCCATAATGTTTTAGCGGCTATGATAGCGCCATTTTTTTCTAATACTGTTGGCCGCGACTGGCCTTTACAGCTTCACTGGATGATAGGGGGCGAGTGCAAAGTGCACTCCAAAGCCGCGGAAGGTATTATAAGACTAACTTCCGCCTGACGGATACGACTTTAGTCTGAGAGCACCGCTAGTGGTGCGAACCTTGGCTCAGGCCGTCGTAATTTCGATCCCCGTTTGAATTAGACAGGGGATCGATCGGAGGCGCGATTGCAAAAATCATTCGTCATCATCGATTCCAAAAAACAGCAATATTCATAATATTAATACAAGATTTAAAGACAAACTTGCTGTCCCCAAGTATCGTTTAGAAAAAGTTAATAGGTCTTTTATGGGAATAGGTATAAAAATTTACAAGAAGATACCAAAGGATATGTTGGAATTACCCTTAAATAAATTCAAAACATCTGTTAAATCATATTTACTGAGCAAAGCCTCACTAAACGATTACTTGAATGACGAGTGTGCATGGCAATAGTTGTTCATGCACTGAATTTTGTTTAATGTTAGACATAGACACCTATATAAATATACATTGTAAATAAACTGGCTTTAAAAAAAAAACTAATTCAATTGAGTTTCTTGCCAGTTCTTCTCAATTGGATCTATATACCGAACTGGACGGTAGGGAAAAAAATAAAATTATAATGTAAAAATTTGACGTTCATAAGCGGCTAATATGTCCTACATGAATAAATGATTTTTGAATTTGAATTTGAATTTGAATTTGAATTTGAATTTGAATTTGAATTTGAATTTGAATTTGAATTTGAATTTGAATTTGAATTTGAATTGTATTGCACCGGTGTGGAGCGCTCGGGCGAGCCCAGGGTCCCGTTTGATTGGGTCGTATATTGTGGTCGAGGTCGTCGTCTTCGCCGTCGAGGACGGTGTCGTGTCGTGGTAGGGACGGAACGGGTGGGCCCCTGATAAAAGATATGTATAAAAGGAGAGTAAGCTCAAATGTGACATATGATATACATAAAAGGAGAGTAAGCTCAGACATGACGGCAGATAGGGCTCATTGGAAGAAGAGGACATACTGCGCTGACCACAAATAATGGGATAAAGGCAAGGCAATGATGACACGAAAGTTTCGATCCCCGTCCAATTCAAACGAGGATCGAAATTACCATGGAGCCGAGGTTCGAACCGTTAGTGATATCCTTAGACTAAAGTCATATCTGTCAGGCGGGAGTTAGCCTTCAGCCACTTCATAAGTCCTTCCGCGGGTTTGGAGTGCAAGCTGTATAGGCCAGCTGCGGCCAAAAGCATTCCAGTAGCCCGAAAAAATACACGTAAGTTTTTATTGATATCTTTAAATTAGAAAATGTGTACTTACCTGTAATTTATGTCCGGTGCTTCGAAAACGTACACAAATCCATACATTCCCGCCAAATACACGGGGAACAAAAGAAACGCATAATTCCATATATTGTATTTACCAAAATCACCCAACTCTTGTAGTATTAAATCTAACTTGAAACCGGAACGTGGCTTTACCATTTTATGTAAAAATTAAATAAAAATCAGTTTTTATACACTAATTGCACTGATAAATACATTGTTTAATACGTTTTAATGTAATTGTCACATTAGGAGTTCTTTGAATACTTCAAACGCAAGTGTTGTTGTGAGCGCGCAAACATATGCTATGCGTCGAGTAGTATTATTAGATTGCAGAATATATACATATATATAGCGATCTGTTTACAAGCGTGTAGGTATATACAGCTGTTTGAGAACGTATTTATATATATAAAAGTCGACTGAATATCAATGAAGTCGAATGATAACTGAATACCTAAATGGTGTTCGAATAATGCTACATAAAAAATGCGTACAACGAAATTAGATAACAATTGGCATATATTCGTAGTGAAATAATCGATTTAGTTATACTAGATATGTTCCGTTGCTTTGTATATTAAACCATACTATTTGTAATAAGAAAATCTCAATATTTGTTACCTTTTGACTTGAAGATATAATGCTTCATGGCGACATGGACATAGGTTTTTTTTCTCAATTGGCAAGGAAGTTAGGAGGTGTTTAATATACTGATAAATATAATTTGTTCAGCTATTTATGTTTTACAACTCAGTTTTAATTTAGTTTTCATTAATTAAATATTATTTTATTTATTTATATTTCTTAGAAATATTATTAATTATTATATATGATACTGGATGGCAATGTAAACAATTCAGTGTACCTTACTCCTTGTTATCTCCATAACTGTTGAGTATATGTAACTATATATAACTATAGACTGTCTGCGCATTGATAACGACCAATATTTGATGTTAACGCTCTATGGTTAATGTTTGGTCTACATTAATTTATTGACAGATATTATAGAATATAATTTTATTTGCATTATACAGAAAAAAGAATCTTTAAACATTTATGAATACATCTGTATCGACAATAAGGCGGCCTTATTGCTAAAAGCACGTTTTTTAAACGCAAGAGTACAGCATACATCATTTCAAGAGTATATTAAGGTTTCTTAAGGATCGGCAACACGCACGTGACACCCCTCAGGCGTCCATGGGCTACGGTAATCGTTTACCATCAGATGGGCCGTATTCTTGTTTGCCACTAACATGGTATAAAAAATATATTGAAAATGTTACAAACATCATATAATTTTTACGTATATAACATGTATAGGTACTTAATAAATATAGCAAATAATATATATACTCAGGTATATAGTCTATTACACAATACAGCACAGACTGTTAACTTTGTTTACCAAAAACGTAAAAAAATCTATGTTGTACCTTGCAATAGAATCTAATTTCCTTTTTCTTAGATTACAATAACAAATGACTATTATAATACACATTACGGGAATGTCAAAGAATATTGTTATAATATATAGTTCATTGACTTTTCGAGCGTTATTTCTGAGTTCCGAGGAATATGTTGATAAACATAATTTTATCAGATAGTATTCTGGTTATTTGCTTCATAGTTACACTGATTCATATTATGTACTTATTGTGTAAACAATGTATCAATAAAGTTAGTAATTAAATTAAGCTTAAGTTTGTTAAGCGCCTGATCGTAATGATTTAGCAATAATTTATTTCTACTAATAGCAGGCGTTATCAACAGGTTCACTTGAATGGATATATATATAGGATAAAATTTGAATATATCTATCCAATAAGGTTTTTGCACAACTCATATAGTTTTGACTCGCAATATTAATGTCAGGATTTCTCTCTATAATATTGGCATAGATCACGGTTAACTGTACTGTTTTAAAAAAGGTAACAATTATTTTTTAATAATACATATCTACCTTGGGAACTGTTGGGTAATAATTATAAAGGAAAATAAAACAAGCTATTAGGTTCAAAAAATGTATCAAAATCCGTTTAATCAATTCATTTTACAAAACACACAAAAAGATACACCGCAATACACTCTTACAAATACATATTTTTCAAGGTGGATTTAGACTAGAGTAAAAAAGACCAAGAGTACAAAAAATAACAGGAAGCACAAAATTAAAGTAGTAAACAGACATTGAAACTGAAGAAATAATAAGTTATTGTTCGCTTGGTTGAAATCCACCTTTAAACGTACACATGTTATAATATACATAAATATGTAGATCATATTAATATTAAAATCTTAAACTCCATAATGATATGGATAAAATTGTATATTACGTTTACAAATAGTACAAAAGTAGGTTCTATCTATTTATAAATTATTTGTATTGATTTGTACTTTATTTTATATTAATAATAACTTTTATACAATCATTTGTACCCTTACAATGATAATAGCAGAAATGGAATACAATAATAAATATTGAGACGGTAGACTTATTCCATTCGTGAAATTGAATATCCTATTCAATTATAAGGCTTGGTTGGTATATGATTTAATCAGAATAATATTACAATTCTACAATATCAAATGCATATTTGTCTGTAACATATATTTTTAATTGTAATATTCTTCTCCGTTTTGTAATATATTCTCTATTTCTCCTATATTTTGTCTTTTGTTTTTATGTAGGGAAACGACTACATATCCTTATTAAATATATATAAGTAATAGCCCAATGGTCGAAATTCGACCATCAATGCCGTAATAATGTTCAAACTTATAATTTAAACTAGATTTTGCCCGCGGCTGCGTTCGCGTTAATTTATCCCATTAGGGGATGCCTACGTCATAGTAGATTTATGCATGCAAAGTCTCAGCCCGATCGGTTTAAAATTGACAAAGTTTCATACAAACTTTCATCCACAATTTTATCCCCTTGAGGGTAGAATTAATCAAAATCCTTTCTTAGCGGATGCCTACGTCATACCATCTACCTGCATGCCGAATTTTGGCCCAATCCGTCCCGTGGTTTGGGCTGTGCGTTGATAGATCACTATGTCAGTCGCCTTTGAGTTATATATATATATATATATATATAGATATAGATGTATTAAATTATAAGTTTGAACTTTACTAAGGTTCTATTGTCAGAGACTAAAAAGTATATGTTTCAAATACATGATAGCGTGTGTAATGTTTTTTTATTGATTTATTATTTATTTTTTATTGCATATATTTAAAAAATATTAGCATTTTGCACTCTCTACTGCCCGCCCCGGCTTCGCATGGATGTACATGCATTATATGTATATATATAAACATTATTCTTGGATCACTCTATCTATAGCTAAAAACTGCATTAAAAACCGTTGCACAGTTTAAAAGATCTATGCGAACAGACAGCGGAAGCAATTTCATTTTATACTATGTAAAGATAAGTTCGCGAAATATTCATAAAGTGGATACAATGTTATTGCTTCACGTATTATAATTAATTGATAATATTTTAAATCTATACAAAAGTATAAAAAAGTAGTATTACAAATAATATTAACAATCAACAAATTATATATAAACTTGGCATTTAAAATTTATATCTATATACGGGAATTTATTTAACTTTCATGGAATTATATTGATAATTCGATCGAGTGCTTTTATAATAATATATTTAAAGCCGTCTGAGAGTACCTCAGCCTTACCTATTTCAGCTGTTAAACTGTTTTGTAATTTGTTAGTAGTCCGCGAGCCAGAGGCTTTTTTTCGTTAATTATTTTCTGAACTTCTAAAATCTTAGAAGTTTTGTGTTATTAGTAAATCACGGGATCGTATCACGTTTTATTTTGATGTGTATTATTTGGGTGTGATAAGTCAGTGAAATTACAGGCTACAGATTTATAACATCTGAATTATGTACAAAGGCAATGAATGAATGCTAACATAATGATGTGATGTCCATATTGCTGTTTATGTACAGGCGACAGTTACCACTTACCATCAGATGAGCATGTTTGTCATTTAAATTATGTAAACAAAATGTGTCACTTTCAATTGTAAGATTTATAACATTTCATGCTGTAACTCGTAGCACAGATAACATAATATTACATTCTTGTATAATGACATATAACAGGTAGTATATAGTTATAAATATATTAGTTCAAAAATGAACCTAAAATTTAGCATCAAAATTTGGCATTCGTCATAATGAGCATTGTTAGCATAAAAAGCTGCCTTTAACGTAAGCTTTTTCACGCGCGAATAGGAAACGTAGGAAACAATGTGCATGCAAATGTAGACAAAGAAAACGAGAAATACCGCGCACGCAAACAGTAAGCGCATTCCAGCTTACAATAATTGTGCGTGCTTTAGCGCCTTTTTGTAATAATTAATTAACATTGCAAAATGGCGGACAGAGGACTATAGAGTTAAGACATAATTATAGAGTTACTAGCTACTCATCCCGGCTTCGCCCGGGTGTACATGTATTATTTATTATATTCAAGAGGAAGGTATATATATACCTTCCTCTTGAATCACTCTATCTATTAAAAAAACCGGTTCAAAATCCGTTGTGTAGGTACTTTTAAAGATTTAAGCGTACATAGGGACAGGCAACGACAGCGACTTTATTTTATACTATGTAATGATTGGTAATTTATATATCTTAAATGTGTCTTTGGAAAATAGGTTCTGAGAAATAAAAAACGAACGAATTGAAGTGAATCATACACGAGAACACGCAGAAGAGTCAACAAAAAAAAAATGTTAAAGCAATCATTCATGTTTACGGGCGCCGGTTCTCCGCGCCAAATCGCTAGAGAATATGTCGTATGAACTATTGATAATTTTAAAACAATTGAAAAGTAGATCTGAGAAATAAAAGATAAAATTTTAAAAGAAAGTGTATTGAATCATCAATTTGATATGTTTCTTACTTCACTTCTTCCGGAGTGAAGTAAGAAACATATCAAATTCAGTCACTCCATGTTTGCGCGCGCTGACTTCCTGCGCAAAATAGCGCGTGAATATATTGTATAAAGGCAGTTAATGTTGTGCTTCACGTAAAACATAAAGTTATTGATAATTTATAAATCATAAACTGGGGAATAAGATCATACAAATACTGTAAAAAATATTTTTTTAAAAGAAAGTGGTATGAATGCCCGAGGAAAAGTGAAGAAAAAAGTTATTAAATCACTTATTTTTGCACGCACTGATTCTCTCGCGCTGAATCGCGCGCGAACGAATATATCGTGTAAAGGCAGCTAATATTCTGTTTAAATATAGTTTTATAAATATTTATTACAAAAAGCAAGCCAAAGATTACTTATAATATACATACTTTTTTAGCTTTCAAATTTATATACATGTCTTCAAGACTAATATCCTAAAAGGGGTAGTTAGAAGCATAGTCTTGCACATATTTCGTCAAGATTATTTTGTTTTGATTGCAAATTGGTAGGGCGAGCCTGCACCCTCACGTCAATATCGTAGTTTTTTTTATTATTAACAAGTTTTTCTTTTATATAAGTAGTAAACTAATTTTTATATATATAACGTTACATTAATTTCAGTAATATTTCTCCTGTTTGTCACATTTTGATAGTTAATGATTTAATATTAAAAGTATAATGTACATAAGTCACATTTCTTCTCTTTGTCACACTTTGACGACTTACACCTTAACTTGTTACATAACTTATGAACGACCCTTAATTATTATTGCATATATCCTTAATACAAAATCTATTCAGCGACTTCATACAAATTATACAATTCAAAATTAGGTAATAAAAATTGGAATGGTCATAATTGGCAGGTACAATATAGAATGGGTTTATTATAAAAATCAAGAAGCTGTATTGAGCATCACAGCATCTACAAACAAAGACACCACAGATATTTTTTACAACCCTGAGCAACTCTTGGGAAATCCTTGAAAGAAGTTCTATTTTGTTCTGAAATTCTAGGTGCTATTGAACAATAAAATATAGGTGCATATTACATTATACGACTTGTAATTGGTCAAAAAACCACTGAACATAGACATCTAGGGTCACCCTTAAGAGAAGTTCTATTTAATTCAGAAATTCCGTGTGCTATGGTACCACAAAACATAGGTAAATATTACACTATACGATTTGTAACTGGCCAGACACCACTGACCATAGACATTATCATTTTGTAACGTATTTGTGTACAGGTATCATCTTGCTTTATGGTTGATTTTTGGGCTGTTTTCTTTTTGATAATTGTTCCGCTTCCTCTATAGTGTCAGGTAATGGCATGTTAATTGTCTCTGGTAGGGTGAACACTAAAATACTGGCAACCAACGCTATGCTCCCGAAGAATATCGATGGCAAGTTGTCATAATATTGCGCCTATAAAAAATTGATAACAATAAAAAAAAACTTGTTGACAAGCAATCTTTGTCCAGTTTTAATTTTTTTTTAATAATTAACATGGGATTCGCATTAGCATAATTAATAATACAAAAAAATCCATAATTTCTTTTAATAAGAACCTGACAATATTACAAACAGCAAAGAAGGAATTAGCGAAATCGATCCAGCCGTTTACGAGTAATGTTGTAACCAAGGAAAATAGTTGTTCATTTATATATTTAAATAGATTATGACGAAATTAGCTATCTAACTCAGCATTAGAGTACAATTTTATAGCAAAAATAGTCATAATAATCATAAGTTCCTTATATATAATTAGTGAAATCATAAGGAAATTATAGAACATGTCACGAAACAGACAAAATTAAAATTAAACAGAAATCTTTTTAAAGTATTATAATAAGAGAGAGAATAAAAATTTCGTCAAAAATATCAAAAGTGTTTGAACTAACCTGGTAACATACTGGTTACTTATCAACATAAAATCACGATTTTCAGTCCATTTCAGAAACTGAATTGTGGAATTAGACTTTAATGTTATGAGTATATTTCAGATTTTTTCCTCATTTATTTTTCTAATTCAGTTTGAAGGATATTTTTGCATATCATTGTTTAATTAAACTAAATTTATCTGTATTATTAATTAAATTGTATTTGTATTGTTTCATCTTTTTTATTGTAGAACAACAATTATTTTTGTTGTAGAACAAAAGTTAAACTTTATTCTACATAAAAACTTACAAAAACAAAACGACTGTTTTCTCAGATGGAATAGTCAGAGGCGTCTCATTGTCAACTGTCTATGTTGTGGTGAATGCAACACCTGACATGCCTGCACTTCTCTCAGTATATTTTGAATCCAACGTAGCCGGAGGCAAACCTATCGCAGTCTCTCGGATTATTTTTGGTTCGTGTTTACCTTCACCGGAGATTCAGTCAATTATCAAAGTTCTTTTTATTGTCGGCTATATTTGAATTCACGACCTCTTGGTTGTGAATTACACAGTAATTAACCACTAAGCCACGACGGTATCTAAAACTGTAATTATGAAATAATTGGTACACTTACCAGAAGTGGAGTTTGTGGTGCTAAAGTTGAACCAATTCTGCCTGTTGATGAACATATAGCTAATAATGATTGTCTCACGCTAGTGGGAAACACTTCCGACACATAAATGTAGACAGAACTGTATGACACCGTAATCGAGAACTTTCCAGCGAGATACAAGATTAATGACCACCATTTTTGATCTGTGGAAAACGAAATGAACATATAAGGTCCGTACATAATCTATAATATTACTATCTGAATCGAGAAATGTTGTTTTGCCATATAAATAAATCAGTTATCGACTGTCAAGTAGAAAATTATTAAAGTACTTATATCGCTATTTAAAAATAGGAGTTGAGGGTAGAAGGGTGAAAATTCAGGGAAAGTATTTTTTGCCGAATACATAGAGAACATCTAAACAAATAATAATAAAAATCTTAGGACAATTCACACAGCGCCATCTAGACCCAAGTTAAGCTAGCTAAAGCTTGTGTTATGGATACTAGATTACTGATACAAATACATAGATATATTTTTTTCATAAATACATACATATTATACATAGAAAACATCCAGACCAATACAAACAATCATACTTATGAATACAAATGTTTGCATAGTGCGGGGAATAGAACCCGCAGTCATCGGAAGTGAAGCGGTGTGCAAAATTACTGGACCACTGAGGCCGTCAATTGTAGAAAATAACTACTTCTATAGAACATGTTTAGAGATTTTCCATTTTAGTTCGTGACTTAACTTTGCAACTTGTTAGCGCTATATTAACAAGTCTTACCTTGTTTACTTATGTATACTTAATCTGCTAGAAATAGCATGCGGATTTGCAAGATTTACTTAAACGTACATATTTACTATTTGTCCGACGACTGCGACTCACTTCAAAATACGAAACTAGGAATAACTAATATATTAATTTGAAAACTTATGGCCTCGGTGATCTTACTTCCAATGCTCGCGGGTTTAAATTCCTCACTTGGTACAAACATTTGTATTCATGAGTATAATTGGTTGTATAAGTCTGGGTGTTTTTTTTTGTATGTTTCCAAAAAAATATATATTTGTAATAATTATTTAGTACCCACAACACAAGCTCTGTTTAGCTTTGGACTAGATGTCGCTGTGTGAATAGGCCAAAACTATTATTATTTCAGAGTTTCTGTTGCGAATCCTAGCTTATATCTGTAAGTGTTTCATACAAAACTGCAAACCAAATGATTTTAATATTTTACAATTAACAATTTGAATTGATTTTATACAAAAAACCTGATTTTCATAAGCGGGTAACAAGTTCTACATGAATAAATGATTTCTGATTTGATTGCAGAAGTGTCAACAAATGCGTTACATAATGGAGTTACAGTTCCCTATAAGCTGGAATACGCTGTTACAGTAGCCATATAAATAAGACTATACTGATGCTACAGACAGCCCCCTTTGTCGGGGCTGCTTTGAAGCTGAAGAAACGGCGGCTCACGTAATCCTGGAGTGCACGGCAGTGGCCCAACAACGAAAACAAATCCTCGGAACGGTGAGGTCGCTCCGTGAAGCCTGCGAAGACACCAGGAGTCTTCTGCGCTTTTGGGAGCTTGGCTGGCTACTTTAGTAGTCTGGCTCTACACGCACAAAGGCCCGAATGAGAGGCTAATTGCGGAGAATGGAGTCCAACATACAATTACAATTACAATACAAAGACTATACTATATATTATAGAGCTATTTGTATGCTTAAGGAAATCTAGAAAAACTAGATAAAACGTCAGCATGAGATAGCGTAGTTATTTAAAGTAAATTCCTTCCGACTATAGTAGTATTGCGCTTTATAGATTAGGTGAGCCGGATTGAAGCAGGCCAAGTACCGCGGAATCGGCTTAACTTAAATATTCCATTAATTCAGTCTGCTGGGCAAACACTGATCACTAAATAAACAGCGGTGTCGCCTTCTTCCAAACTCAATGTCTACAAGTCAGCGTAAATTGTTTTCGGATTATCAACTTGGCTTTTGTTGACGTGAAATTATGTTTGGATGTGAGATTAGATGAGATGGCTTTTGTTACAGGATTTTAAGCCTGATTTCTAGAGTTTGGTATTGTTATTATACCTGGCAAATACAGATAATAGACAGTAATGTCTTAATATGATTAAGTGATATATACCGCACACGTCATTACAGAGTCTATAAATAATAATCTTATGTATAAAATTCTCGTGTTACAATGTTAGATACCATACTCCTCCAAAACGGCTTGACCGATTTTTATGAAATTTTATATACATATTCAGTAGGTCTGAGTCTGAGTTTTTTTATTTTTTAACATATTATTTTTATTTTTTGGAGTATTTTTTATAAAAAATATATGTATATGTAAATATATGTACAACCGTAAATTTTCACCCTTATATTACAAACCCCTATATTCTAATAGCGATTTTAATTTATATGGCAAAACAATGTTTGCGGGGTCAACTAACTTAACTCAGTTAACTTGTAAAAAATTTCATATCGACATAACTTTTGTTGTACACACATATAATAGATAAGATTGGTTCTTGTTATAGAATTTAAAAAATAGAAGCGTGATTTTACAGACCTAGATAGATTTAATTACTAAAAATATTTTACATGTATAAAATATATTATTAGATATATTTTGCTTAATATGCGATAGGAATTATCTCAAATAATTTCTATTAAAGAGTTTGTCCAATTAATCAAGAATTAATAAATTATACTTTCTATCAGAGAGTTAGTGCACTTCACGAAGCTAATAATTGGCAATTTAGTAATATTGAATTTAATATTAAATTTATCGTAAATTTACAGTTATATTTTTTTGTTAGGTTACTGTGGATTGCATTACAAAATTAAAGTCATACCCTGAATATTTATAACTGACTTTTAGCACCACAATTCTACTGCCATAATATTATGGTTACACAGACTGCTAATAAGAAGATAATAAATTAACATAACTAATACTACAGACTAGTAGTAGAATGCAGGGTTGCCAACCTTATGAGGTACAAATTAGAAATTTTTGTCTATTGGTACGAGGACATTTTCATCCTGGTTTATGTTTGTATGGATTTAAATACGAAAATAGGTCAAAATACTATGACGTATTGACGTGACGTGTTTTTTGGATTACTCTAATGCTGTTGGTTGCAGCTAGCCTTTACAGCTTTACCAGATAATAGGGGGCGAGTGCAGATAATACTCCAAATCCGTGGAAGGACTTATGGAGCGGCTGAAGGCCAATTCCCGCCTGACGGATATGACTTTAGTCTGAGGGCACCGCTAGGGGTTCGAACCTCGACTCAGGCTGTCATAATTTTGGTCCCCGTTTGAATTGGACGGGGGATCGATTGGAGAGGGGCGGGCAAATTTGCGATAAAGTATGATATTTAGTCAAATTTTTGTTCAAATTTCTTAGTACGAGGCTAAGTGCCTTGTATAGCCAGCCCTGATTGGCTGTCATGTAACTGGAAATATAAAACCTGATAAACATGAAATCAATTAACTAGTTGTAGATACGAGTACTGCACTACTATTAGCTCAAGCAGCTTATTTACTTGTAGTACATACACGCATATTAATTCTTATTAAACTAGTTATGGAAATAGAAAATCTAGCAAATGAAAACATTTTATCGTAGAACTAGTTAATGATCTAGAATATTAAAGAAACAGTTTACTTGAATGAATTTCAGATAAATTATAGAGTTAAGGAACTACTACAGATATTTCAATGTGAAATGACTACACTATCCAATTAGATAAACTGACGAGCTTGCAAAGTCAACAGGGAGAATACGCATTCAATAAATTATAAGAATAAAGTGCTCGATCTTACCTTTGGGCAAAAATGATAGACTGATACAAAGGCAAGCGCTGAGGACGTATGTCAAGATCAGAGTCTTCTTTCTTCCATACCTATCTAATACCAGAAGGCACACAAAATTAGCTGGTATCTCAACAAATGCCACCAGCATAAAGTTAACGTATTTATTACCAGCCAATGATACAGAATTAATAGAAAGTCCGTAATATACAAATGTACATGTTATCCATAGAAATGAACATACAGCAACTCTTTTCCTGATTATACTAGACTTACAAATTTGCATCAGAGTTGAAGATTGTTTGTCATTTTTGTCTCTATTAGAGTCACTTAAATTATCTTTTTCATTATCATTAGATGCTGGTATTTTCTCTAATTCATATAGCGGTGCTAAAAGTTCATCAGACAAAACTACATTATTCATTTTTGCGGCTTTATTCAGTATTTTAACTGCTTTGTCGTTCTTTCCTTTGCTGAGCAACCATCGGACGCTTTCGTTTATAATCCAGAGGTATGAGAAAATGAGTATCGCTGGTGTATAAACAACTTGAAGCAAATGTCGCCAGTTCTGTAGCCACCAGGCGAGGGCGGCTAGGGTTATAAGGCCGAAAACATATACTACGTTTATAAGAGTATTTCCAAATACTCTGCCTTTAGGTCCGACAAGTTCCATAGCTAAAAAAATATAAATCAAATAAGATTCTGACTAATTACAAGATATTGTTTCTATATAAAACAATACCTATTACAACATTTTAATTATAATGAAAGTAATTCAGAGCCAGTTTCGTATGCACATATTAAAGTCTTTTATCAAGTATACATTATAATTATTGTGATATTTCTTGAAATTAATGAACTTTAAATAAATGTTTAATTTTATATCTTGTGTTCAATATTCAAAGCATTAAAATAAAATTAAATAATTTATTTGCGAAATATTGTAATTGTAAAATTTTCGGCGTACATAGATATTTTACAAACTTACCTAATACAAAAGCAGTACTATAGGCACCAGCTCCTAAAGCTGGTTCTAGAAACTCAAACACCAGTAGCATCTCGTAATTGCTTGAGAACGATCTGAATAGTCCCATCAAGCCATTACAGAGTGATGAGACAGCCAATGCTAATCTTCTGCCATATCTGTCTGATATTAGTCCAGTTAGAGGCAACGATATGAACAGAGCAGCATTGTGTATCGTGCCTACTAAAGTTCTCTTCCAAGTTTGACAACCTAAATTAAACTGCAACAAGCGTAAATAAATGATAACAAAGCAAAGTAAGTATACTTGTGAAGAAATGAAACTAATAATATACTGATTTAAACTTCCATGTTTTTTAATACTTTACTAACTGTGCCCGCGTTTTCTTTCGCATGAAATTTATAGCCTATGTATTATTCTGATGTATAAGCTATATTACTGTAAGGTTATATTAAAATCCGTTTTTGCGTGAAAGAGTAACAAACATACATCCATTGATACTCACAAACTTTTGGTTTTATCATATTAGTAAAAGATATACATGTAACTGCATAAATCCTCCGATCAATTCTCCGTCTAGTTCAAGCTGAGATATAAATTTGAACGGCCTGAGCCGAGGTTCGAACCCCTAGCGGTACCTTTAGACTAAAGTTATTTCTATCAGGGAGGAGCTATGTTCAGACGCTCCATAAGTCTAAGTTCTATTGCGTGAAGCTGTGAAGGCCAGCTGAAGCAAAAGCATTAGTCCATTAAAAAACCTTTATCCCATTGACGCAGTATATATTTTTTCCCATCCATCCTTCACCTATGTGAATACACAACTGGAGGTAGAGAAAAACTGTATAGACAACTGTCAAAGATTACAGAAATGTATAAACAATGTGGCCTTATTGGAGATATATCTCCAGGTGGATGAATAGTGCATTATGTCGGAAGAATTTTAATAAGTTTTACACTAATAAATACGGTAGGTTAAAAGAGCAATGGTTTAAAATATTACGAGAATTAAGTAAGTTTTTATTGTAATCAAAATGTGTGTCCTTATCATTATGAGCATTATATCTTATAGTTGTCATAATGTAAATATAGTAATATACAGACAAGAGAACCTAATTTCGAAATAATATGGTGTTAAGCAGTTAACAAGGTTTCAACATTACCTTGTCTATCTTGCCTTATCACCATAAATTTAGGTGACATTAACTTGACTGACTTAACTAAATAGAATAATAAATTCTTTATAATTTTATTTAACTTTTCTACTTTGAGGTATATATCATATGACAATGCAGTTATTCACACTATGCATTAAGAAACAAAAAAACTAAAAAGTATATGTATTACACTATAGTGTACACTGTACATAGACTCTAATGTATGTAATTATTTAGTAACTGCAATTAAAAACTCTTTGGACTAGAGTTTGACATATGTAATTATACGATGCAATTTTTAAAATGCTAATTATTAAATTAATACCTTATTGTTGTGGAGACATATAATCGAACGATAATGGGTTGATACGGTCAGGATAAATATAATCAAATATTATTTTAAATATTGTCTTTATCTTTGTTGGTAACTTCAAATTATCACAATTATAATTATCATAATCTGTCTGAAATGATTGTACAAGACTATTACAAGCCATAAATACGAGTAATAAAATTCGACATACGATAACATGATATGCTAACAATTGTTTGAACATAAAGTGATAAACTTATCACTTTAACGCTAATCTACGTCGTGTAATGTATTCAGCCTTTTTTACAACTGGAATTACCAATAGGCTGATGGACCACCCATTAGGAATTATATCTTTATTTGTCTCAAATAAGAAACTATAAATTACAATTACTGCTTATAATAAAATTTAGAAGTAATAATAGAGACAAAATTGTCTATTACTCAGAGGGAGCTGTGTGTCCACTCTCTCTGTTATTCTGTTATAGCCTTTATTAGTAAATTAATACAATTAAGTTCTAAATTACTCTACTAACAAAGTAAATAAAAACAAATTACAAAATAATAATTATTCATTAATAATAATAATTCGACAATAACAAAATTAAATAAAAATCGTTCAGGTACTACTTATCATACATAGTATGTGATAACCGTCGTCTATATGGTACACCTGAATAGCACATTTTTTTCGGAGTACTGTAATGCTGCTGGCGTTAGCGGGCCTTTACAGCTTCACCGGACGATAGGGGGCGAGTGCAGATGACACTCTATTCCACGGATGAACGTCAACTTGGCTTGATTTTAGTTTGAGGGCACCGCTGAGGGTTCGAATCTTGGCTCAGGCCCTCGTAATTTCGATCCCCGTTCGAATGGGACGGGGATCATGGGCGCATGCAGCACTTTTGGTAGTCTCTCATGCGTTACCATTAGGAAAGTATGATTTAAGTACATTTGTTTTGTCCAAACAATAAAATTACGATGTAGCTATTCTTCAGTATTCGTTTTATCTCTATTCAGATATCTTGCGTCTCCACTTACTCATCGGAATACGAATACTTTCAATCGAAACTTGTCTGACTTTATTATTACAGTAAATATAAGTTTTTTTTTAGGTTGTTCATAGAAATGAGTTAAACATACGTGTCTGTTTTTATTTGTTGTTTTTCGGTTATGTGTAATTTTTGTTTAAAGAAAATATAATTACTGTGAAAAGTTTATATTAGTTGCCTTCTATAATCAAAAATATGCCATCGTGTTTAATTACTTTCTTGTCGGTTCTCTAACTTTGGCTCTGACATGTTTAACTGCATTGACGGTTTTTTAATGATTAACTTATTTTTTTTTTGTTCTTAGTTAGACATAACGTTGTTAAAGTTATTGTATTGTAAAATTTAATGTCATTGATAGTGTCACTCTGCTCAAACATTGGGATAAATTCATGAGTATTACTAATAATGTAATACTAAATGATGTGTATAATTGGTATACGTTGTTGATTACCTAAAAGAATAAATAAATTACTTGTTGTTAAAAATGTTCATAGTATCACAATTGGAGAGGGTCGGGAATATGCAGCCCTAATCTTAAAAAAATAGCTGACTAAACAAGTTATTTTGCGGTATAAATAAGTTGCACAGAAGCAACCCAGTAGACGACTATGTAAAATAACTATCTCGATTACAAACTAAAAACATCGCGCGATTTAGCATATCAAAATAATCACATATTCGTACATAATACCGCTTATCGGGCAATCACTTATGTCTCGTGCCTTACTGAATCACTAACGCATGGCATTTTATCGGTATTTAAAGTTTAATTATTATTTTGTTCAAGATTACCAACCGGTTGCGTGTTTTATAACGCGCCACACGACAACACGAACGAGGGTAAGTTGTATAACATTTTATTGGAATTTTATCTGTTTCTTTGGGTCAATAAACTATGTTTTAATTACAAATATCGTATGATATAATAAGTTACGGAACTACTAAATTAATACATTTTTATAGTAAGTTGGTGGCAAATGAACATACGGTTCATCTAAACAGTTGCCGTAGTCTATGGACGCCTGAAATATCAGGGGTGTCACGTGTGTGCTGCCGACCCTAAATTAGATATGTGCTGCTCAGCAGTAGGGCTCATGTGCTGGTTAGCTCTCATTTGACTATTAATTTATTTTGTTACTCAAAGTACTGCATATTTAATACACTGTTTTTTTAGTCAAAATATATGTTTATCTTCTTTACACAGTATAAACCAAAATAGATGCTTTCGAGATGTGGTGCTGGCGCAAAATGTTAGGAATATCATGGACGGAGCGCCGCACTAATGCATCTATTTTGGAACTGGATATCAGAACCCGTCTCTCTACTGTGTGCTTCCAGCGTCTGCTAACTTTTTTCAGCCACGTGGCCCGTTGAAAACCAGATAATTTGGAAAAAGTATAATGGTAGGCCACGTGGACGGAAGAAGGGCAGAGGTAAGGCACCTGCACGTTGGACTGATCCTGTACGAGAGGCCGTCAAACGAAATATACAGTCGGCGGTGCACTTAGCACAAGATAGAAACGCCTGTAGAGTTTTGGTTGGGGGAAGCATTCCTGGTGGTCACGACCCTCAGTCTTGAGGAATCGACAAAGAAGAATAAAAAAAGGTATAAAAGCGCTTCGCTTATATCTTTTAAATTACGCAACAGATTTTAATGCAGTTTTCAGCAATAGATAGTATGATTCAAGAGGAAGGTTTATATGTATAATACCTGTGTTTTATAATATGCAATAAGCTGAGAAATTCAAAGGTTTGTATGCATCTGTGCGAAGCGGGGAGGGGTCGCTAGTAATATTTAAATATAAAGTTGAAGAATTATTTAAAAGCCAGAGAAGTTTCTAGCTTAATCTTGTGCTGAAACTTTATTCCGAATGACTGGTAGATTAAAAAAGTGTGACTCTTCAGAAGTGTATAAACTTAAGTTTATTTGAATAAAGATTATTCATGTCTGTATGAAAAAATGTTTTTTTCGTATTTCTATTCATTTTCCATGTTCCTTACGTTGTTATAAAATTCTTTACACGATAGATATTGTACTTAGGTATATGACTGTAGTTTTCTTTATGGCAATAACTATATGCTTATTGGAGCATTGTAAATAAAATAATAGATAAAACGTCCTTTTACTTCTGCGATTTTACAACATACTACTTTTAGTTAAATAATAAATAGACTAAGTACGTAGTCTATTTGTTACACAGTCACTATCTAAATCCAAACAAGTAGAGTTTGTTCCATAGACACTAGATATCTAATAGATCTGCTTCTATTAATACATTATCTTCTGATATTCAAAGTCATTCAATCAGAACAAGTTTCCTGATCAAAACAAATATCTGCATTGTGCAAGACCCGCTATACTAAATTGGGTCGTTAAAAATTATTTTAATAAAATTAACTGTACATTTGTAATAATAATAACTAACTAGGGTTTTAATAATAACTAGTGGTCGAAATTTAACCATAATTAATGTAACATTTAGTAAGACTATAGACAAATAACATTAAAATCTATTCTAAATTTGACACAGGATTTAACAATAAACAAAAGAGTATATTTGAGTGTTAAATACATGGTATTGTGTGTAATGATTTTTTAATTGATTTAATAAAAATTAGAAAGATATATTATTCTTTTGCACTCGTTTTCTATACAAGCTATAGGTAAGTGTGCGAAATTTCATACACCTCCGACCGCGCAATGTTCTTAAAAAGGGGTACTATTTGCTTCACGTATACATACATTAATTTACTTACATCTTTCACAACCGAATCTTCATCACTGTAAATATATGATGAACACTTTTCTGTTCTGGAAGTATTAAAATCGTTGGCTGCACACGTTATGTTACTTAATGTTGCATTGCTACTAAACGGGTACCTTTCGCATTTTAAGAATTCATTATTTTTTTTTGGTATAGCGTACGCTAACCATGAACTGTCATTGTTTTTGTTTTCGCATTCATCAATTTGACATCTGAAACAAAGATAAATTTGAATTAATAGTCGAAAGATATTGTAGGATATTCCTTATATTTTGTAATTCGAATGGCAAACATTCTATATCTAATATCCATAACATAAGCTCTGCTTACCGAAGAGGCGCTACGGTAAGTAGAGCTACTGTAATGGATAATCATAGATAAAACTCAGAGATATACAATCATACTCATGAATACAAATGTTCGCGCCGTGTGAGGAATCGAACCGTCAACCATAGGAAGTAAAGCGGTGTGCAATACCGTTAGACCACAGAGGCCGTCAAATTACGATAAACTAAATACAAAAAAAAAGGATCATCTAGTCCTTTTTGTGTGCGCTGTGTTAATTGTCCAAGTTTATTATTTATTTAAGTTTATGATTATAGTATATTCAAATTAGATAAATAAATTTAAATATACTAAAGTATATTGTATTCTAATGACTGTGGTAATTGAATCATATAATATGATATCATTCATAAAGATTTACAAATAAGGTTCGTTTCTCGTACTACTTTTAACGGCAATTTTCCGCTTTCCCGTTAACAGCAGTTGTAAGGTCGTCTCCATTTGCAACTGTAGATGTAATAACTATCCTCGATTGTCGATGTGGTTTTTAAGGTCAATAATGACATTTCAAAGTATACTGAAGTAACTCAAACTGATTTACCAGTAGGTGTATGGAATTTATTCTGCATATAACATGTTCACATTACATTACTAACGATGTAGGTACAAAACATGTAGGTATTTACATTAGATACACTGTACTGCTAGTTTCATATAAGCTAGTGATATGTGTTTACATTTTTTATACATTTAAATAACGATGAAATTGAATACCAACATAGTATATAGTACAGTAATAATATAGTATAGTAAGATAATATAGTATGCAATTCATATAATGTTCCATAAATAGATAGCTGTAAATAATACTATACTTTTCATATATATAATGTCCGATTTACGAATATATATTGTTGATGATGTTGATTGATGTTTCATTTAAAGAAATTACTACTTCTTAAAACATAAAATAGCATAAAAGCTGATGCAAAGTGGTAACAATGAAACGGTGAAACCCACTGATTAGGTGTTATTTATTTTTTGCCATTCACGAGTATTAAAAAGCTGTGCCTAGATTTTAATAATTGCAGTTTTCGCTATGAAATGATAATACAAAAAAAATGTAAATGAAAATAAACATTACAAAAACGCCTGTAGTGGACAATTTTGCCTCTCTAGAGATTAGATATCCTAATAACATTATTTTGAAATGAGATAGTCGAAGGTATTACTAATAACGTCATGGTTAACGTAATATTTGATATGCACATTTCACTTGACATCCTTTTTTTATACTACGATGGTGGCAAACAAGCATACGGCCCATCTGATGGTGAACGGTTACCGTAGCTCATGGACGCCTGAAACACTAGCGGTGTCACCTGCGCGTTGCCGACGCTTAGGAAACCTTAATATATCCTTCTTCAAACTGTTTTTATCAGTTTAGTTTTCATTATATTCAGTAATAATTTAAAAAGTTGCAAATACAAAATAAGAAATTAATGAACGTAAAGAGGGAGATAGATAAGTATTACCTATTATATACCTATAGAGAATAGATGGGGAAAAATGTTTGGGCACAAAATGACAAGATGAACTTGTGAATAATATTATCGAAGGAAAATTGAAGGGAAGAGGGAAAGAGGAAGATCAAGACACTGCTATATTAGGCAAATCGAGGCAAAAGTTGGAGTCATGTCGTATGAAGAATTAAAGAGATTGATGGATAATGGCAAGAGCTCCACCGAGTAGCAGCACGGCTCTTAAATTATGAATCAATTAAAAAAATACAGCTCCTATTGATATAATTGGGACGTAATATAATTAATACCAGTCGCTTGATGACTACCCATGATTGATCGACCGGGGTCAGACCGGGTGTTAGTGATAGCACCTCGGAGCAAGTGATAAAGATATAGCGAGCGAAAACAATTAAATGCTTTTCGTTTAATTAGTAAGTATATTAAAAACAGGATGTGTTATGAATGTTCAGTTTATGTATGGGATTGATATGTTAAGTAATTTCAAAAACAGTTTGTTTACCGTAATTTAAAAAATATTATCGAATGTTAAAAAATATCTTTTGTATGCCTTTAATTCCTCTAAGATACGAGTATAAAAAGGTGCGCAAGCGCGCGCAGATACTACCAAATAGAAATTAAAATCCTGTGAATTGAGTGTACTGTGTACCCAAACCGATACAAACAATCATACTCACGAATACAAATGTTTGTGCCCTGAGAGGAATCGAACCTGCGACCATCGGACAAAGCGGTGTGCCAGACCGCTAGAGCACCGAGGTCGTCAAATATATATCATATAGATTGAAGATTTCACGAACAAAATATTTCTGTTTGAAGTGTTTTGTTAAAGCTGTTTGATTTAAATGATTATTTTTTGTTTAATTCAATGTTTAAGAATATTTACTATATTCTTGATGACCTATGTATATTATAACAATTGCAAGTTTTTAAATTTAAAGATAATAATAATTTCAGAGACAATTAAACTAAAATTTTTCTACATTATAGCATTTAAACATTCAAGATCTTAACAAAATAAAGTCACGAACAGATTGATAAAGGACAATTGTGGGATAGGATCGCCCACGGAACCCTAAAATCGTATATAAAAATAAGTGTTACAAGGACATGTTATGAGAATAAATTTGCATGTAAATGGATTCAATAATACGCAAAAATAGAACCGGTCTCTGGAAATAAGACGTTCTGGAATTGGTATGATATTTTAACAAGCTATGTCAAAATAAATATAGTCGTCCTCTATTGTACGCATTTGTTGGCGTCTTTAATTTATTTTTGCTGTGAAGCAGATTTATAATAAGCTCTTTTTATGTAAGTAGAATAAGAGTTGGACAAGCAAACTTACGGCCCACCTCATTGAAATTTAAACCGTTGTCAGGGGATAGTAGTACTTAGTAGACCTAGAATTTTACCTTTCTTGAGGACCAAGGTGTCATGACAACGTATGTAATTTCAGTACCATAACCTTAAACCCGGTAAAGTTTACAAAAAAAGTTAATTGATAGCAGAACTACGTAGATAGAGGTAGGCGTAAGTAACGCAAATGATTTCCGAATTATAGACATAATATATAGGTAGAATTCGAAAAACTACGTACTGTGTAGTACTTATAAATTTATTTTACCCCTATTAATAAATACTTAATGGAATTATATTATTTTGTTATATTTGGCTAGCTTGTGTGTAACGACAAATATTCAGTTCGAAAACCTGACCACCGTGGACTGATAATCCCATTGCTGACAATGTACATTGTCAGGGGGAACCGCGTTGAGGTCATCAACGCGGTTCCCCCTGACAACCATCGTTATAAATTCCCGGTGAATTTATCACGATGGGCTAACTGATCTGACTTCATGTTCGTCATTTCATCCTCCAGTGGTGCCCCGCCAGCGTAACCCGTTAGCGCAGGCGGGTGCTTCATTCCATTATCATCCACTAAAAAAAACCTGACCACCGCTACTGGAAGTTATAATCTTCCTTTTAGTGATCAAATTCCAACCGTTATTTGATTTACATCTATATTGCGTGTTTCGCCTCTAAACAAGGCATCATCAGTCGATGAAGAGTTTGGTAGGCTAATGTTGATTGTTCGACGACCATTCTAGTAACAAAGTCCAGTTGGTCCGCAAAAATTGATAAAAAACTAGGAATAATTATTTTACATGCATCTTCTACTCCCTAAATAAATTGTTACTCATTGGTTCATAACAATCATATAGATGTACATTAAATTATATTTTATATTTCTGAACTTACATTCTGTGTCATTATTCAATCATAACAAGAATGATGAGTGTACATAACTCTTGTGATTACTTTGTGATGCATAAGTGTAAAATAATTTCATGTAGGTAATATATAGTATTCCAAACCCTCTCAATCACACCTTATTATATAAATCTTTTTTTTTGCTCAAAGAATAATAAGAATACAAATTGCCAATCGCAGATTCTCTTGATTTACACCACAATAAGTCACTAATAAACCCTGAATGATATAGAGGTGATTTTTAATTAAGTATCTAGGTGCTAAAGTAGAAAAAATAAAATCTAAAGATGATCGAATGCTGTAATTGTAATATAAACTATAATATAGGGTTGGTATATAATATTTCAAGATTGACTAATCATGAACTACTGAATCAATTTTATCAAGAAACGAAGTAGTCTGAAAATAAGAGCCGAGTTTCTTGTCAGTTCTTCTCAGATCGAAAGCACTCCGGACTTATTATTACTCCAGAGATATTTTGATTTCGTTTATTTAAATAAAGATAATTTCTATTTTATTCTATGTTTATCTCACAGACAGTTAATTTTATACTATCTTGCCTCATTGTTATTACAATGTACTAAGTTAGGGTAGAGTATTTTTTTATATTTTTTTTATAACATTTACGATATTTTTTTTATTTTTTTATAGGGCGTTATAGGCTATTGTCAGGTGTAAAGACCTCTGACACTGCGACCTGCTACCTAGACCCGTAAGAGACAAGAATTGAAGGATATTCTTAGGAGGCATGGTTTTCATCTCCTCAGGATAGAGTGTATACTTTTCAAAGGAGATATTTCGTTTATGTATGATTGGGCTGCAATTATATAGATGTGTAGTGACACACTACGATATTACTGTATTAAAATTAGACTATAGCAATGTAATATATGTTAATGTAATGCGCACACTGGTGTCACATGTTGGGAATGTTCATTTGATACAAGCGTCGCCTTCAATGTACGTGCCTTAAGTTTGATATGAATATAGGTTCATTAGTACTACAATTTGGTATAGCTGCACTCATACAGACTGACAACAGAAATAGCGATCGATGTGGAAGGAAACATACTGTGTCACTATTGCGGTGATGATCTTATAAATGGTATGTT